CCTGGATCTTCCAACCATTAAACGCCAAAGTTACGCCTGTTCATCCATAAAGCCAATAAAGTCAACAATTCTGCGTAGGTGGAAGATCCAGTATACTTCACCCGTCTTCACCCTCACCCGTATTCACGCTTCGCCGGCCTTCACACATGCTCACACTGATTTCTGAGAAAGAAAAGCAACACATGCAGCCGATGTTGTAGGCTCTTTATTCTCACGCAGCCAACTAGTCAAAGGCGCAGACCGCCGGTCGGAGCGCGGAGGCTTGTGCTTAGGATCCGGCCGCGGGTCACCGGTCAGAGGATCAGGCCTGTAGGCTCTTTTAACATCAAACGGGGCTCTGTCCGTTCTTACCTGTAACAGTCAGTAAACAAGAACATCACTATTTTGGAACTGCAACCAGGCCCCATCATCCACTGGGCCCAGGTCGTAGGATAGACCCAACATAAAATGTTAAAAACAAAACACATTGATGAATGTTCCACGCCCTTGACTCATGGGGGGCGGGCCCTTCTCAGGCATCCAGGAGCTGCGGCACTGCGAACTGGCCGTGCTGTGCCGGAGCGGCAGCGAACGAACGGGAGGAGGTGGTGGTTGGAACGGTTGTTGCGAACGGTTGCGCCTGTTTCTCCGAAGAAAAGCCAGGGAGAAAAGAAGCTGACAGCTTGGACAAGCTGTTTCTTTAGTGTTGGTTTGTTGAAAGGGAGTTCTCAAAGAAGTAGGCAGCAGGCACAAGAAGCACCTTTGTAGTTGGGACAGGGGGCAGGTGTTGCTTCTTGGGGTAGTCTCAGAGTCACTGGCATCCCCGGTGTTTAGAGCGGAGAATAGGCTTCTATAGGCTTCCAACTTCCAACTTTTTACGCTCAATTGAGTCCTTTTTTTCGCTCTTCGGATTTTATCAGGTCCGAGAAGAACCCAATCAACAAAACCAGACCCACCCTGCTGTGACTACAGGCAGTTCACAGATGGAACCTTGAGCTTTAGCATGCTTTGGCCTACGTAGCGGAGTGGAGCATGCTTAACATCCTTCGTTTCTTTTTGGTTTTCCTGGGGCATGGGTTTCCCATCGTTGCCCCAATGTCCAAAAGAAGGACGACTTGGAGAGGTGGGCGGCGGGCGCACGACTCCAACACCAACTCACGACTCCGCAAGTCATATAGAGGCGTACTCTCCCGCAAACTAACATGGAACCCGAGAATTGACCGGTGGTTTCGACCAGTTTCCTCTACAACCCGACGTGGTGGTAGAGGTTCCATGTGGTCCTCTGCAGGGGAGTAATTGTAAACAAAGAAACTTGTGGCCAATGTCTCGGGAGTGCTCAGCGGCATTGTATATATATATATAACTATATATATATACCCGAAGGAAGTCCAGTTCGGCACCAGTGACCAGTGAAGCAAAGGAACTTATACATGACATGTCTTCGGATCTAAAGACATATTGTAAAATACCGATCACTTGAGATCCGATGAGGTCACGAATCGTCCCTTCTTCAGGTCACGAATAGATAGAGATCTTCTAGATCGACTCACCTGTTGAGACTTCAAAGAGAGAAGAAAACAAGCCACGATCCTGGTTCTTCCTTGGTACGAGTTGAGACTCCAAGTAGTTGCTGAACGGGCAGCACTGCGCATCGACCGAGGATGTGCCGTCGCTTGGAGACCTTGGCAGAAGAGGAGGCCAATTGGTCCATGGAGCCTCCTGGTGGCACATCTTGCTGTTCCTTTTTGCTGGGTCTTGCTGTTTGTTTGTTTGGTTTTTGGTTGGTTGGTTGGTTCGTTGGTTAGTTGGTTGGTAGTTATTACTTGGTTGGTTGGTGCTTTGGTTGGTTGCTTGCTTGCTTGCTTGCTTGGCTGGTTTGTTGGTTAGTTAGTTGGTTGGTTAATAGGTTGGTGCTTTTCCTGGTTGTTTGGTGTTGTTTTGCTTGTTTGGTAGGTAGGTTGGTTGTTTCTTGCTCCTTGACGCATGACTGAAAACGAACCGCCATGAGATAAAAATATCATATGACATCCTATTGCCTACCAATGCTCAGACTCCTGCCACGCCCATATCAGGAAGCACGAAAACCAGGGAAGAGGTAGGATGAGGGAAGGGGTAGGATTTTCATCAAGAACTATATGGCATAGTTTCTGGTTTGTTTCAGGGATTGACCCAAGGTTTCGCGATGTTTTGTGCATGCCGGAAAGGCTGGACCCTTGAAACAGGGGCCGCGAGCCAGAAGTCATGGAAAACCTCTCTCTGGTGACAGGGCAATAGGGATATGACAATATATATATATACCTTTGATCGCTACGAGGAACAAGAAGCTACTAGCAACAAAGGGCATCGCTACTAGGAGCAAGGACGCTACTGGTAGCTCCTGGCCTTACTACGAGCGAGAAGCTACTAGGAGCAAAGGGCATCGACCCGTGTTTGGAGGTACAAGTCGGCCTTAATGTCCGAAGGGCGAGACATGAGGCGCGCGTTTGCGTATGGGTCCGATTTCATGACTGCTTGGTCAAGAGATTGATTCGAGGGTGTCGTTGGGTAGTATGCGTAGTGTACTTCACAATGTTGGGTGCTGCTCACCTACCCCGGAAAAGGGGATAACCTGTACATCCTGTTTTTTGGATTTGCTTTCTCCAGTAAACAAGAGCAGGTGGAAAAAGGTTAATTAAGCTCTTATGTTCCAAGGAAACTGAAGGAGTCAGCTCATCTCATCCAGCTGAATCCATATCAAAGGCCATCAAAGGGCTGTAAACCAGATCTGATTTTTTGTGCTGCCAAAATCATCAAAACATAGCAAGCCTTTGAGTCTCAAACCCGCTGGGTGAGGATGGATCATGGATGGATCATCGTATTTGATGACAATGGGTGAGCGGGTGGTGAAAGGGGTGGTTAAATGGATCATGGATGCTTAAATGAATCGTGGTTCGTGTGGGTGATCGTGACCTTTAAGCAATCTTGTTTTGACCATCTGCTGGTCGATTCAGCACTTGAACTGGACGCTGCAAGCTGGTCAATGGTCCATTTGCACGTATATATACAATGTACATCTATGTACTCGTAGTGGTCGATTTATGTGTATCTAGATGATGTAACACAAATATAGTTATAGTAATACATACTATACTATAGATATACTTAGTTTACTCTCGTTTTTGACTGCAATCTATGTTATTGATTTATTTCTTGAGGACGTCTAGAACTTGAACTTTGGCTCTCGGCTGCGCTTGTGCGATTCGCGGCGCGCTTTCTTCGCCAGGAAGGTGAAGCTCAAGAGTGAGACGATCGTTCTGAGGAACCGCCTCCACAAGCTGTGCCGCTTCGGCAAGAATCCGTATTCCAACCGGGGCGAGCTCTCACCATGGCCCCGATGGTAGGGAGAACTCAACCATTCAGTTTGTTCGGGATTACCAGGTGAACTGGCCGGCTGCTTAGGTGAACATGTATTATTTTCTGTGGGAGGCGGCAAACGGTAGGGGGCATTGATCGCCAAGTTCGGGCTTTTGATGTCTCAATTGGTTCAGCTCACCGGTGCGCTTTGGAGTCAACCCCATGTGGCAGACGCTACGGGGGGTGCTGTGCTTTGTTCCTCCGTATGGAGGCGATTCCGGCAGATCGCTGGTCCCATCTACGGAGTGGATGGCATGGCCCGGCTCATGGCCCCCAGAAGACCGCTCTTCCCTCAACGTCCAGGGTGCCATACACCTTGTGATTTGTGGGACACGAGGAGCTCCTTGGAGCTGGGCAGCTCCTTGGAGCTGGGAAGAAACCGGGACGTACAAAGCCCAAGGATCCGGGGCTGGAAGAGTTGTCAGACAAATGGATGGGTTTGTGGTGGTTCTTGGGTATGTTAAGGGGTCAGTGCGTGAATCATGATATATTCCAGTCCCATGGATGGTCGCAAGAACCTGACTACAATAGACTAGCCTAGACTCCCGGGACTGCGAGAATGGGATTTCGATGTTGGACTACATCAAAAAGAATCGTCCAGTTGTAGGTGCCACTGTCCAGAGAGAGCCAGGTCACAGCAACCAAAGCGCGGCCACCCTGGTCTTGCTTAAGGTGATGTTTTATTTTCCCTAAGGTTCCCCTTCTGGTGGATATGATATTTTTTCACTTTTTACAGGTTCCTGAAGCAAATCCAAGGTTAGGTCACACCAACCAAATGCGGCCACATCTCCAAGGTTTTAAGGTTTTAACTCGACTGGTGGCCGGAGTCTCAAAGAGGAGAGACATGGGAGCGATGATGGAGCGATGTGACGTCATGCAGATCGAAGATGAGCTCATGTCCCAAATCTACACTCCCTGGCCCTGGAACTCACATGTACAGTGGCTTAAGAGTAGATGGCACAATCCCCAAAAGGTTGTTTATATGGACCCCTACATAAACGACATCTTGGGGTGCAGGTGCCATCTACTCAACTCTCAATGTAAGTGGATTGCATGGCCCCGAAAGGAGGACCATGTTCCTCTATGGCAGGGGATCCCTTCCACTTCCATGTTACTTCCAGGGCATGTTCGCCGCGCCAGATGGCTCAGAATGCGGTCAAAAGAGGTAGTTCCAGCGTAAATCATCCCAACAGTGTTTTTTGCTTGGGTGTTCAGTGGTTCCTTCTACGTTTAAGTCCGGGTGGTTCTGGGGAAAGAAACACGACGGCAGCGTGAGACACTAAGGTCTCCACCTTCAAATGCGACCTGCTTCAGCGCTTTAGCTACACTCCATGGAAATCACCATGGACGTTGAAACCATTTATTTTGGGTTTGTTATAGCCGTTATAGCATATTATAGCAAGTATAAGTAGTCTTGGACGATCAACCTAGCTTGGCCCTCGGATATCTCCGGATCTCTCCTCCTGAGTTGAACCATGGCGGTCCGCGGTCCGATTTCAGGGAGGTGTTTCAATCTTTCCTCCGGCTTTTGAACAAAGAAAATACCTGGGGATCGTCGAAGCGAGTTTCGCGAAAAAGACACGAGAGGTTTGAGTCAAGCGTGGCGTGGAAAGCACCGAGAAGTGTAGGACATGGCCTGGGGAGCCTTGCATGCGCGGGAGATCTTCACAGTGACCAGTGCTCGTCAGGGGCTTGGTTGGCCTGGTTCGAGATGTTGCATGTGGCCAGATACCTACCCCCCAGACAACTGGGCCTTGAACAATTTCTTAGCGCCACTTGAACTCTTTGCTGAGAACATGGCACAGTTTTGGCACAATATGGAATACAGAGCGGCTTTTGTTGCAACGCTCAAATTGGAACCCTTTCAAAAAGGCACCGAGTCACCCTGCGACGACTTGCCATGCACCTTCTGTGCCCTTCCGCCTTCATCCAGATGTGAGCCGCTCTTTCGCCATCCGAGGGAAAGAGGTGGAATGCCTTCGTCAGAAGGTGGCCGCTGCCACCTTGGCGATGCACCGCGACACTCACCCCAAGCTGGCCGGGATCTCAGGGAGAAAGGGTGCGAAAAGGCGGGTTTCGCAGAGGAGCCGAGTGAGGCAAACCCAACAAAGGTCGAACAAGTGAATCCCCTCTCCACATGTGTTGGAGACCGTTTGGATCTACTTGGGGGGACCTTCATGCCGGCTTAAGACTTAAAGGCTCAAGAAGTTAAAAGGAAGCTTCATGAAGTTGTACCAAGAAATTGGTCCCTCTGGTCAGGCGAGATACCTGATTCAATCGCCCATCCAGCACGCCGTGTGTAGATGTGGAGATCAAGTATCTACATATTGTGTTGTTCTCATGTGCTGTCTAAATGATTCCTTAACCACACCGGGACTTCTACCAGGAGGCCGAGATTCCAGGCATCACTCTTCACTAAATGTCCGCCCCACACAAAGCACCCATCGGGCGCCCTGGGACTCGAGCTCGGCCGAGGATGCCATCAACAGCGAGCGTCACGCCTCTCAGCTGCACAGGTTGAACGCCACCATCGCCTCCCACCGTCCAACAGGGGCTGTGGTCGGACCCAAAGAAGTGGTTTCTGGACACCTGTTGCCACCAGGAAGCAGTTCTTGGAGTTCATCTAGTTGAATTTTGGTCGTGCCAGTGACGTTACCCGAAGAATCCATCTATCCATCGCGATCGATTGATCGATCTATCAATTTGTTATAATTTGTTATCATATATATTTATTATGTATATGTGTTTAATCTATCTTTGGAATATTTGCCTGTACATTCGGGTGGTTTCAAGATGTTTCAGGGTCGGATAGGTAAATATTCCATAGATGGACTGTTGGGGCTAGGGTGGAACCACTTTTTGCGTCCGAGTCGTTTGTTGACTCGTTCTACCAAGGTGCTTCCTAAGTACTTCGTGTAGCCATCCTGAAGTCAGTGATAGGGTGCTCGGTGCTTCCTGAACATGGGTGAATAGGTGCTTCGCTTCCAGAGGGTGCTCTTTGAGTCCCGAACCTGCCCACGGTGATGCAGCCGGCCATGCCGCCGGAATCAGCGAATGGCCCGTGCATCACCACATGCGATACAGTGCATCACTGAATCAGCAAAAGAAGCTTTCAGAATTTGGGAGACCTCCCAGGCGTTGGGAGACCTCCCAGGCGTTGGGAGACCTCCCAGGCATTCCAAGTTGGGAGATCCCAGGCGTTGGGAGACCTCCCAGGCACTCCAAGTTGGCAGACCTCCCAGGCATTCCAAGTTGGGAGACCTCCCAGGCATTCCAAGTTGGGAGA